CAACATGCTACAATGCTCTCCATCATTGTATTCAATCTACTTTTAGAAGGTTTAGCTCGCAGCTTTACAATGTGATTATTTGAATTAAATTACATTAAAGGAGAAGTTTTCTTAGAGGAAAACACAATAGTTTGAAAAGAAAATAAAACTAAAATCAATGTTGTCTGCCTAGCCTAAGAATCAGAATAAAAACTGAAAAATTAGTTCTAAAAATTAAGATAAATATAAAAAAACATGTTAACTATCCTTGTGTTAGTTGTGTGGTTGTATCTAACGTTCTTTCATTCTTATCCCAACATTTAATAAGAAAGAATTAGATTTTACTTTAATGAAGCCAAGTAATATCTAACACTCATCAGAAAGCTCGACTACTCTAGAAAACTGCCCAAGCCCATCAAAGAAAAACTATTGTGTTGAAGCCAAGTAATATCTAACATATCAAGAGTCTCATCAGTTCCAAGTATACATGTATACATATACATATAATCAACATGAAAAAAGAGTATAACTGTTATAGTAAGATTTATTATGTTGGGTGTGTCTCGGAAAAACGAAGAAATATTAATTAATAAAAATAATTAATTAATTAATTAGTCAAAGAAAAACAGAAAAAAAGATGGGACAGAGTTTAGCCAGAGCTCGTGCTACGCACGATGTCCTTAAAACGTATTCGTCGCCTCCCACGGTGCTAGGAGCGTTGCAACGACCGTTTCCCAGGATACGGTGGCTAACGAACTAACGTTTGAGCACACAAATGAGAGTTCCGGCGAACGGGAACAAAGGAGAAACACTGAGGATTTTTTTGGAGAGCTGCAGGTATTTTTCAGAGCTAAAACGTGTGTATGGTTGCTTGTGAACGTGTAAAACCGTGTGTTTGTTGCAAAGCACCTGCCAGCTATTTATAGGAGGATTTGTTGTGTGTTAAATGTAGTGTTAATGGACCTGAACGTTGGACATCAATGACCAATCCGTTGGGCATTGAATCGTCCATAAACTGTCCATTTAACGCAACATTAAAAGAGAAGAAGGTTGGACATTTATTTTTGTAACGGACCAGAAGACCTCGAGCCCTTCTGTTGCGACCAGAATACCTCAAGCGTTCTGTTGCGACCAGAAGACCTCGAGGGTTTCTGTCGGTCCCTTCTCTTGCGGACAGAATACCTTGAGGGTTTCTGTTGAACCGAACAGAAGCGAAGCGATTCTGTTGAGAACAGAACCCTCTTCTGGTTCGGACAGAAACAGAGCGATTCTGCCAGTCTGGAAAAAATAAAGGAACGTTTACGGGAAGAAACAAAAATTAAATCATATTTTTGAATGATAGATTTTTCAGACGGCATTCGTGTCCGCAGGTCGTCAGCGCACACGTGTCACGATTTTTCTTCTCTATTTTCGGGATTTGATCGACACCCCTCCTTGCACGCAAGAGAGAGCCTTACCTTTAGGAATCTTAACTTCTTAAAAGAGGCTTCCCTTTATAAAGGGGTGAAAATCCCTTGAGTTTTCCGGTGTGGTATAAAACATGCACACTAGAAACCCATCATTTTCCCAGTTTTTCCATTTCAACGAGTGAACTTCGAGAATCAATTTCTCATTCACCCGTTATCCGTTTTGAGCGTACCATATATCGAATTGTAGCCCTGAACAAGGACAATCCGAAACCACTTTGACTCGACCCAAATCGAAAGTGGACCCCACTCAAATAATTGCCCTAAAATGACTATTTAATGCAATTTTTTAACACATTTTCCAACATATTATGCTAGAGTAAGGGTTTGTTTTAAAAAATACAACTAAAATAAAACTTATTTACAAAAATATGAATAATAGTTACTACAATTTAGTGTCATGATAACTTAAGTTTAAAAATTGAATATAAGTTACTATGATTTCATTACTACGTTACTCACTAGTCACATTTTTGTAAATAATCTTTACAACCATTCTTGATGTACACAACCTTGTACACATCTTATACACACCATGTTTGTGAAGCTTTTTTTTTGTTTGTGAATCGGGTTCATAGACAATATTTTGTTTGTGCAAAACATTGTCTGTGAATCGATGTTCACAGACAAAAAAAATAGCTTTCACAGACATAGGTGTGTACAAAAGTGTGTACAAAAGTGTGTACAAACATCATTTTTCTAATCTTTATTCTAGTCACGGAGTATGTAATTATTTCTATTATGCATCTCTTAAATACAATCACTATTTCAGAATTATATGTAATTTATTTTCCTTTGCATTTTAAAGGTATATTCAAATATCGAGGAAAATATTTTCACAACACTTTTCATCTTTCCCTACCATCTTCATGTTTCAATATAGCTTAGCAAGATAGCCATAGGCATAGTTTTTTGTGTGTGAAAGCTAGGAAAAGATGTTGTTTTGTTGCAGAATGAAAAAAAACATTTTGTGGTTCACATTAATTTCACATTTTTCTTACACAACCACAATCATACATTTCCACTTTATTTCACTTTCTTAATCTTCGTGTCAAGTCAAAGTGGGAAGAATTTTATGGGACGGGGTAGTATTTTCCAATAGAAAAATGGATTAGAACTTGGCAGGAGAAGCTGAGGTGATAGTATAAACATAATATTGAATGAATGGATGAGAGTATTACGGTCAGACATACAAACCTTAAGAAGCTCAGATAGATGAAAACCACTACCTACCCACATGAAACACCGTTCAATAGGGGTTTTCTACATCCCTGGTAATACATGGAACACATCAGCTTTGACATAATAGAGAAGGCGCACGCAATCTCAAATAAAAGAGAAGAGATTAAAAGATCAGTCTACATTCAATGGAAGTGAGATACAATTCTCAAACTCATGCATGTGCATAAATACATGTGTAGCTTTATCCTTATTATTCTTACATAAATACATGCATATCATTCAAGTGAATTAAAAACAAGTAAAAAAGGTTGTGTTTGAGAACAAACTATTGTTTAAATTTACATGAGATTCAGAAACTTATTATAATGTAACCAAAGTTGTGCTATCAAATCTTCTCAATCTTAACACCAGGGGCGAAACCAGGGGGTCAGGGTGGTCAGCCGACCCGCTGAAAGTTTGAGAGTATAGAGCTCTGAAATATCTTCGATTTGATATATTACGACCCCCTTAACTCATTACGAGTAAAAAGTTATGACTTCTGGAAAATCATCACTATCTAAATGTAAACTCAGCAAAATTTGATGCATCCTCTAGATTGTTTCCCCAAATTTTAAAAATAGGGTATAATTCACTCAAAACTTACGTGACACGACTCAGAAACCGAGCAAAGAAAATCTATCTTATTGCTACAAGTGTAAATTTATCTAAATTGCATATGAAATGTTTAACTGATAAATTGTTTAAAAACGATCCACCATTTTCATTCTGTATATAGGTTGAGTTTCGATCCCCTGAGTCGTTTTTCTGGCTCCGCCACTGCTTAACACGGGCACCTTTTTTATCTTCTTCACTTCATTCGAACCTTCTTCAATTCAACAATTTTCTTCAACCTTATTGTTTTGAGTCTTCGATTACTTGCCCTCCACTTGAATCACTGCCTCTCTCTGAAAAAAGTGCTCATCTAGATCTCCTTTTGGTAGCTGGTTAAATCGATGATTCAGAAAAATTCTGCTTGGTGGAGTTTCCTCTGTTGGTCAAATCAATTCTTCTTTTCCAGTGGCTAGTGAAGCCGGATCTTTGTAATTTTTTATTTTTTATTTACAGTAGCAAGTGCAACAAGACTGTTAGACTATATTACATTATTGTTGAGTTAGCAATCTGGAAGCATTCATGATATCTTTTCCGTTTTAAATTTTATCTCCTTGTAGTCCTAGGCTATCATTTAATGAATAAATTAGTTATTTGATTTAAAACAAGAAAGAAAACTGTAAATCCATTATTTTTTTTCATCGGTTCTTTTATTCTTATTTTAGTCAAGTTGCTTGAGTAATGGTTGTGTTGCTTTAGATAAAGTACTCTCCCCGTCCCCTACAATTGTCCTATTTTTTCATTTTTGGATGTCATCATATTATTGTGTGGCTCTAATTCATTCTTAGTTTATTTTCACTTTATCAACTCATTAATTATCAACCGCATAATTCTACTTTTCTTAAAAACCACGTCACTCCCTTCCGTCCCAATACTAGGGGACGGAGGTAGTATTAAGTAACGTTTACAAAAAAAATTGAATTATTTAGTGAGTATTTAATTGATTTGAGTATAAATAATTAGATTGATAATTGTTTTTAGTTTTTTATATTATTGTGGAGTCTCGATCTTATATTTGGGACTAGACCTCCAAATTACGGTTGTGACGGCTAGTCTCAACTCTCAATATCTATTTAAAATTGATTTTGAAGAAATGTGAATTATTTTAGAAAAAATGACATGTATATTACTATCAGAGTTTTCCCGGACAAAAAATATGACTAGGTATGTTTTTGGATAAAAATATGACTGGTCACGATATACGAATAACTGAGCAAGAGTCACTATAATGTATTCCGAGTGAAAAATCACTGACAGATGATGAGTCGCTGAGAAGTAGTCACTAAATATGCCAATTTTTGAGTTTTTTTAAAATAAATAATATTTTGTCTTTTGAATTTAATTTAGCACTACATCCGTCCCACTAACATTGGGACACGAAGAGGTGACACAATTATAAAGAAAAATGAGTATATGGTTGATATTGAATTGATAAAGTAAGATTAAAGCAAGAATGATTTAGAGTCACACAAATTTCATCGAATTTGGTATGAAAAAATTTTAGAGGGATTTCCAAAAAGATAAAATGAAACAATCTTAACGCGACAGTAATATTTATGAATAAAGGTGATTTAGTACCGAAAATGTGAGTTAATGGAGCAGTTAAATTTTAATAATCCTCTTAAAAACACGCTTATGATAAATGGAGCAGTTATATTTCAATAAATACTTAAAACTCACCCTATCAAATTTCCCTGTTTCTAATTACAATATTACATCTCTCAGTTTTCCATGGTACTCCCCGGCCTGATCATATTCAACCTCTCAAATTGCAGGTAATTAATCTCTTGGCTTTCCAGTATCTGGATTTCAGTTTTTTTTTTAATTTATTTATCAAAGAAGTTTAGGTAAATGGCCCCCAGAAAGATGCATGCAGATGATTGTTTGAACACTCGGCCATTTTCCTGGAAAAATTAATGAATTATATAGTGAGTATTCTTTTCTAAATCATTGAAATGATTTTAGTTTGAGGATGTATAAATAATATAGTGAGTAATCTTTCATGACCACGCATGATTAAGATGTATAAATAATGTTATTCTCATGCAATGCTCATCTCTATAAATAGAAATGTCATTGAGATCATATGTTTTTTTCTTTTTCTCTCTTTTTAACAGAAAATGTGAGTTAATGTTACAGTGTTGAATTTAAAATTCCTTCATCAATTTTCACAACCCTTAATGATTCATGTGTTATCTCTGAGATTTTTATTTAATATATTCCTATTAAAGCAAAATGACTCACTAAACTGTCTGCGCTTCTTTATTGTGAAGCAACGGTCAATCCATGTATTTTTCGACGCGATTTTCACTATGGTCATTCAGAAACCGTCTCTTTCTGCTTTAGTGCAGGGGTAAGACCGCATCACCTTTGCGGCACTGGGGTGATGATGATGATATTCCTTGATTGATGATAATTTGATGATGGTGCCTCAAATTAGCCACTTTTGATATCTTATTAATGCAGATAAATTATTATAATTGACATTTGCAGGTAAAGGGAATGAATTTTTGTGTTGTGGTATCTGCATCACTGTTATGAACCTGCAAAAGTGTGTGAGGATTTTGAGCAGAGACGATGACGAAGAAACGGTGGAAGGCGTCGACAAAGCAGTTTGCAAGTCATATTGACCCACATAATGAAGAAGAACTCAAATGGATCAAAATAGGTAATTCCTTATTCTGATTTTATTCATATATAGGGAAAAAGCTGTTGGTACACACTTTTTGTACACATTTTGCGTACACCCTCTTAGTTGTCTGTCTACCGAGGCAATTCGTTCAGAAACTACCTTGTAGACAGACAATTGGGGAGGGTATACACAAAAACACCAAGCAACACTCCATATATAATACGTAGCACATTTGAATATAAGGTGACATGAAAATCTGTGTTCCATATGGATCCTAACAGTCTGAGAATCCATTTGTTTGAATTGCAGAACTTGAGAATAATGTGAAAAGGATCATAAAGCTGATCAAGAGCAATGTAAACCAAAAGAGGAAAGTTGAACTGATCCAACTGGTGGAAGATTTCCACAAACAATACCAATCCCTTTACTCCCTCTATGATAATCTAAAGGGAGAGGTGAGGAAAAAATGCCGCGCAAATAGCGACAGTGCTTCCTCCTCCTCCTCGTCCTCGGGTTCCAGCTTAGACTCAGAGTCATACTTCTCTCCCGAGGAGTCTGCTGGAGTAGGAGGAAGAAGTGGTGGTTCATCCGGTAGTGACTCTTCCTCGCGGAGGAGGAGGGCCAGTAGAAGCCAAGAAGAAGAGCTCAACCTTAACACTGTCGAAGCTGAAACTCCTCCTGATTCTGATGATGTCATTCTAAAGGATACATTAACGTCCACGACCGAAGTGAACGTGAACGATTCTGATTCAGCTTATAACGATGACCGAGTCCCCCGACCTGAAGAACTCATCATCAAAGACTTAGGGGTTCAATCTGAAGAAAGTGAGAGCAAACTCATCAAGGAATGCTCCATCTTAAAGGAAAAATTGGCAGATAAAGATGAACATCTTTTGTGCATTACCAAGAATTACGAGGAACGAATTGCTGGTTTGATCCTAGAACTTCAAAATTCCCACTCTCTAACTACAGAGCTTGAAGAAAATATTAAGACCAAATCTGATGAGGTAAGTCGTCTATCGGAAGAGAGTAAAACAACATTTGATCATATGAAGTGTTTAGAGGCTGAAATTGAAAGTTTAAATCTGCAGAAGGCTGCACTTGAAGAGAAATTACAATCCAGATCCTTTGAAATGGAAAGAAAACTTAAAGAAAAAGAAGATGAACTTTCGAATCTTCTTCGGAAACACAAGGACTTGCAACAGCAATCAGATCAAAGTTTTCTAGAAAGATCTGATCAAGTAGAGGAATTAACAGAGAAGATCAACTCTTTCCAACAAGAGGTTGGGTTTCTGAGGAATAAAAAAGCAGAACTGGAAATATCACTTGACATGAAATCAAAAGAAGTATCGGAATGCCATTTGAAGTTAGAATCGATGGAACAGAAAATATCACTAGAAGAGAATAGCCAGAAGCCTAGTTTGAGAGAAGGCAGTTTGTCAAGTACAGAAAAGGAAAAACTGGAGAGAAAACTTGTCGAGCAAGAAAACACAAATAAAAAACTGAAGAAACAAGTGAAGGAGATGCAGGAGAAATTTGAAGAAGCGAACATGAACTTCCAGAATGCAGAAAGGAAGATCGACGAGATGCTTGAGGAGTTGCGGAAGAAGTACGAAGACAGCCTCAGAATCTTAAGCAGAAGGATCAGAGTTGCCGAACAGCTCCACGCGGAGAACAAAGAATGGTACCTCAAAACAAGAGAAACCTACGAGAAGGAAAACAACGTAAGTGTCAAGAAAATCCAAGAAATGTCAATGGCTGCAAACGATGCACTTGCTTCACTCGACACAGTTTCTCTAGACTTCGAGAAGTGCGCATCGAACTTCATTAACCGGATCTCGAGCGCTTCGTGTGAGCTCAACTTCGCAAGAGATCGGGTTTCGAGAAAGCACAAAGCGATGGCCCAGATCAAAGGTGACATGAACTGCTTGCTTTCTCAGTTGGATGAGAAGGAGGCAGAGATATTGGTTTATAGAGAGAAAGTATGGAAGTGTGAAAATAAAGTGAGGGATTTGGAGAAGACTATCAAAGAAAGTGAGGATTCAATGTGTGATCTCAAAGAGGAGAAGAGGGAAGCCATCAGACAGTTGTGTGTGTGGATTGATTATCACAGGAGCAGGTGTGATTATTATAGGAAAATGCTTACTGAAGTTGGCTTTGTTAAGGCTCCATAGATTAATAAATTGATCTTCATTGCCCATTCATTATTTTTTACTTGATGAAGAATCATCCAATGCATAAAACAGGTAGCATATTGAATAAGCACTGTCAAGCTCTTACCAAACATGCATTCTCTTTGCATTTTTGTAAATGTCCCTAAATCAAGTATGGAGCAATATATTACTCTGTATAAATGCAATTCTGATATAATTCAACAAATTAAGAGCATGTTTCTTAACGCTAGAATTGACAAATCGATTGAAATTGATGGAATTTTGACTGATTTGATTGAAGTAACAGCAACCGCTGAATTGTAAAAATATACGCCCGCATAATCGGTGCTTCACTAGCTAAACCACTCGAGTGAGTTTTATTCCACTTTGAAGTCTAATTGGGTGATTTGATAATATGAGAACTCAATTGATACTTTGACTATTGTGTGTGCCAAACTATAACGTGGGATTCGCCCACCATGCGCATGGTGTGACGATCCTCATACGATATCGTTTTTGTCTTCTCACTCTCACTAATCTAATACTCTGTATTACGTAAGTTTTCTTTCTTTTTTGCTCCAGGTTACTAGTTTTTTTCTCTTTATTTTTCTTTTCTATTTTCTTCAATTCTTTTCTCCTTTACATAGAAATACTAAAAATTTATTTGTGAGTTTACTTATCTTTATCTAACTAATTAAACACAATTGAATTTATATTTTTCTCTATCAAATTAATACAAACTTTTATTAATCCACATTAAAATAAGTATGTTGTATTTTATAATCATACATTTTTTCTACTTTTTTTATCTTCAACTGAAATTAGACAAATTACAATAGAATATATTTTCTCTTTAATATTTTTTATATTTCATGTTCATAAATTTTTTTTCTATAATATATTTCTTATCTCTTTGATATGTTTTTAATGTTTTTAAGACATTAAATTTGATTTTTTCGATTTAAATTTCATAAAACATGAAATTATGTTACATTTTTCATATGTGTGAGTTATGTATATGAAATTACATCTTCTTATAGGCGAGTTACATCTTGTTGTGCATGAGTTACATCTTCCTATGCGCGAGTTACATTTAGATTTGCCTCAACAAGTTACATTTTGCATACACCTAATTTAGATTTTTCATCAACACGAGTTACATTTTTTATAACACGAGTTACATCACAAAATAAACTCCAGCTATTGAAAATTTGAAACCATAAAATCAATTTTTTGCAACCAAAAATGATTTTTGTTTTTGAAAAAAAATGATTTTCGGCAAAAAAATGAATATTTTTGGCAAAAAAAAATTATTTTTCTTTGAAACATGTTTATGGACATAATACAAAAACAAAACATATTAACTATTTATGTAAATAATTTAAGCAATTAGACTACGTATTTGAACATATACAACAATGACAATATTCAAGTCTTAGCCGTTAAAGAGTCGGGGGTCGACAAACAGTATGTACTACGTATTTTTTATTAAAAAAATCTTCATAAACCATACTTAATAGTATTAATTTAGCTTAGTTGTCTTTTTAGTGGAAAGAATGGTTTACCATTTTTAGAAATGCAAACATTAATATAAAATCATTAAATAAACTTTTTTATGTTCTTGATCGTGAACCTTGTCTATTCAGATTATAATACAATTTAAAACCTTATTTTTTTGAAAACTCAATTTAAAACCTCGTTGGTAAGATGGTAACCTATATATTCAGTTTATCAACTTTATAAGGCTATACACAAATATTTTATCAAATAGGACAACTTTTGATTTCGCGTGTTGAATGATGCAATAGTCAAAATAAGTAAAGTTGAAATTACTTTTTTAATTGAATTGGCTGAAATTATTGAAGATGACTATTTTAGCTATATTTTAATATTCTTTTTCTTATTTTATTAAAAACACATATCTCAATAAAATTTTCACAATTCTTCATATTCTCTCAATTCTTTTTCTTATTTTAGATCAAGTCAATTCATCTAATCTAATCATCAAGATGTTTTTAGTTGGACAGATTTCAGTCTCAGATCAAATTGGATCAAACTTAAAATGATCAAACCAGACTTCAATGCCATTAAAATACACAGAACATTAGAACAAGATTTTTTTTCAAACCTATTACTAACACAAAACATATTTACACAAATGTGATTAATAATTACTACGAAGTACAATTTAGTGTCTTGATAACTTAAGTCTAAAAATTTAACACAAGTTACTATGATTCCATTATTACTCTAGTTACTAGTAACATTTTTGTAAACACTCTTTATTTTAGTCATAAATATGTAGTTATTTCATATAACATTTATCTACTAGACCATATCAACTCAAATCAAACAAAACTGAAACAAGTGAGATCCAAATAGATTAGACCCGATAAAAAATTAATCCAATTAAAATTTAATAAATGGACTCTTAGAGCATCTCCAATGCAAGTGTGTGATCTCTTACACACCCTTACACACGAGTCCCATTTTTTATCTCACAATTTTTATGTGTAGGACCCACGTATTTCATAATTTATTTTCATTTTCATTTTTTTATACTTCCTCCGTCCTACTAAGATTGTCTCATTTTATTTTTTTTGGGAAATCCCACTAAAATTTTCCAATATCAAATTTGGTAAAGCTTGTGTGTCTCTAAATCATTCTTACCTTATCAATTCAATATCAACCACATAAACCAGCTTTTCTTAATAATCGTGCCACTTTCTTTCGTCCCAATGTTAGTGGGGCGGAGGTAGTATCACTTTTAATCCACTTTTCATCAACTTTTCCTTCTTGAATCTCGTGTAAGACCCATTTATGGACCTTGTTATAGACCTAGTACTACTTTTCATCTCTATCTTGTGAGAGAATGGAACAGGTTACCCCTGTTATGGAGTCATGACAGATATATTTATAATGATAATTAATGTTTAAAGTACATAAATAACCCTAGTCTATTACACCCCCTCAAACTGTGCGGGAGATACAACGCGCAAGTTGTCCTTTAAAAAATGAAAACGCTGACTAGGAAGACTTTTTGTAAAAATATCAGCTAACTGAAGATGAGTAGGTACATATCGAACTAATAGATCACCATGGGCAACTCTCTCTCGAACAAAGGATAGTCAATCTGAATATGCTTGCTCCGAGCATGGTGTACAGGATTAGCAGTCAAGTACGAGGCATAAATATTATCACATAGAAGATGGACTGGTACAATGACAGGGAACCTGAGCTCAAACAGAATCAACCGAATATGTAGCGTGTCCTGAATAGTGTATGCAACAGCTCTGTATTCAGCCTCGGTGGAAGATTTGGATACCGTAGGTTGCTTCTTGGATTTCCACGAAACCAAATTGGGACCCAAGAAGATAGCAAAGCCAGTGGTGGATCTAGAGGTATCTGGACATCCTGCCCAATCAGCATCAAAATAGGCAAGAACACACGTTGGAGTAGCTCATCGTTGAAGCCAGAGACCATGATCCTGAGTACCCTGTAAATATCTGAAAATACGCTTGACTGCAAACAGGTGAGTAGTACGAGGTGCATGCATAAACTGCGACACTAAATGTACTGCAAAAGTAATATCAAGCCGTGTCAAAGTTAGATATTGTAGTGCACCTACCATGTTGCGATACTCAGTGGAGTCTGTCAGCAACTCACCATCAGTGAGGGTTAAAGAAGTGCGAGAAGCAAGGGGAGTACGAACATGCTTGACTGTATGAAGATGGAAACGAGCAAGCAGATCATTAACATATTTTTGTTGAGAGAGAAAGAGACCTCGAGAGGTGCGAGAGGCTTCTATGCCTAGAAAATAATGTAAATGACTCAGATCTTTCATGGCAAACTGACGAGAAATAAGTAAGATAAATTGATTAACAGTACTCTCAGAATTACCAGTAATAATAATAGCATCCACATATAATAATAAATAAATGATAGAATTATTATGGCGATAAATAAACAAGGAGTGGTCAGACTTACTGCTAGAAAAATTATGTTGAAGAAGAAAACTACCGAATCTATGAAACCAGGCCCGTGGTGCTTGTTTAAGACCATAAATGTCCTTGCGCAAGCGACACATGTGAGTAGGAAACTGAGGATGAATAAAACCACGAGGATGACACATATAAACCTATTCAGTAAGGTGGCCATGTAAAAATGCATTTTTGACATCAAGTTGGCGGACCACCCAACCGAAGGAAACATCTAAAGTAAGAACAATACGTACAATGGTAGGTTTGATAACTGGACAAAAGGTTTCAGAAAAATCTACACCAGCCTGCTGATTATAGCCTTGAGCTACTAATCTAGCTTTATGTCGCTTCACTGTACCATCAGAATGATATTTTGTTTTATAAATCCACTTACATCCAACTATTTTCTTAGAATTGTCAAAAGGAACAAGATCCCAAGTACGGTTAGTAATTAGTGCATTAAACTCCTCAGCCATAGCATCTTTCCAGTGTAAATGTTTATTGGCCTCAGTAAAACAAGAAGGATCATTGTCGTTAACATAAGTGTGTAAGGACAAAATTCTCTTGGGTTTAAAAATACCATCCTTAGCCCGAGTCTGCATGGGATGAATGTTAGCTACCGTAGTGGGCACAGAGCAATGGACAGGAGAGGTAGGGACGGAACGTTCATCCGACTGGGATTCGTCAGAGGTGGAAGTGATGCTAGGGGGAGTTAGGGGCAGTGTGTGGAGTGGAGGAAAGGGAGGACGATGGGCAAGATGGGGAAGAGGATGTGGGGTTTTGTGTTGCGGCTGGGGTGGATGCAGTAGGTATTGGATGGCTGGATGATGGGGAAGGGGGATTATGGTTTTCTGGAAGGAGAGTTGCCGACTGTGGTGTTGGGGTGGCGGAAGGCGGGTGAAAGGAGGGTAGGTTTGTGGTGGAAAACGGATAATCAGCTAGAGTGGTAGACAGGTCAGGAGAAGATGTGTTCGTAAGATGTTGAAAGGGATAAATATTTTCATGAAACCGGACATGACGACTAATGTAGACGTGCCTAGTACGAGGATCATAACAACGATAGCCCTTATACCCCGAGGCATAGCCCAGAAAAACACATTGAACAGACCGGGGAGAAAGTTTATTGGATGATGTGGCAGCAAAATTGGGATAACATGTTGTGCCAAATACACACATAAAGGAGTAATCAAGTGCTTTATGAAAGATCTTTTGAAACGGAGACAAGCCGCGTAATCTAGAGAAGAGTACTCTGTTAATGATATATGCAGCAGT